ACAACATCTAAGACCTTGAATCTAACTTTGTCTTTTCATTTTGATTCTTTCTTCTTATAAAAGTAAACCCACCCCCATCCCCAGTTATATGAGCTTCAGGAACACAAACCCTGGATCCACACCTTCTCAGGCTTGTCAGCAAAGGGCAAGGACCACCTTATTTCTGTATACAAAACAATGTCTTCTTACGATCAGTGACTCTAACAAACTCGGTATTTTGACTTTTTTTTTCTTAAATAGCTGTTATGGACTGAAAAAAAACCCGTTGCGGCTGACTTGATTCCGACTCAAAACGACATGAGCAGAACTGCCCCGTAGGGTCTCCAAGGAGCAGCTGGTGGATTCAAACTGCCAACCTTTTGGTTAGCAGCAGAGCTCTTAACCATTGTGCCACCAGGGCTCTGATGGACTGAAGAGTGTCCCCCCAAAATATATGTCAACTTGGCTGGCCACAATTCCTAGTATTGTGTGATTGCCCTCCATTTTCTTTTCTGATATAATTTTCCTGTGTATTGTATGCCTAATCTCTGCCTGTGGTTAATGAGGCAAGATTAGGTTATGTTAAAGAGGATTAGCGTGAGATGCACCTCTTACTGAGGTCGCAGCCCTGCTCACACGTAAGGGGAGTTTCCCTGGGGTGTGGCCCGTATCACCTTCTATCTTACAAGAGAGAAAAAGAGAGAGAAGTGAGCAGAGAGATAGGAACCTCCTACCACCAAGAAAGAAGAGCCAGGAGCAGAATGTGTCCTTTGAACCTGCGGTCTCTGAGCTGAGAAAGTCCTAGACCCAGGGGAAAACTGATGACAAGGACCTTCCCCCAGAGCCGACAGAGAGAGAAAGCCTTCCCCTGGAGGCCCTGAATTTGGACTTCTAGCCTCCTAAATTGCGAGAGAATAAGTTTCTGTGTGTTAAAGCCATTCACTTGTGGTATTTCTGTTATAGAAGCACTAGATAACTAAGAAAAGGGGAAAGGAAAATTTCATTGAATGGGTATATTAATGAAAATTTCTATGAGTTGAAAACATTTGATAAAATAGTTCAACTTCCTTAGAAGTAGGTTGCACTGTTCCACTTATTAGTATATTGCTCACACGTTCAATCGCATGCTAATTACAAACAAAGGCTGGTAATGTAGCTTATGAGAGTGGCTTAGACTTTGTGGCTAAATAGAGTTGCTTTCAAATTCTAGAATAGCGCTGTCTAACAGAAATACAAAGCAAGGCACATATCTTAGCCACATACATAATTTAAAATTCTTTTAGTCATCATGTTAAAAAAGTGAAAAGACACAGGTGAAATTCATTTTAATAATATACTTTATTTAATCCCATAAATCCAAAATATCATTATTTCACCATGTAATCAATACAAAAATTATTAATGAGACATTTGACATCCTTTTTTTCTACGAAGTCTTCAAAATTCGGTGTATATCTTACGCTTACAGCATATCTAAATTCAGACTAGTCAAGTTTCAGTTGATCAATAGCCATGTACGGCTAGTGTCTTGTATGTTAGACAATGCAGCTGTAGGCCCTCCACGTAGAAGCTGAGTGGTCCTCGATAAGTAGTTTAACTATTTTGAGTCTGCTCACTTCCCTGCAAAATGGAGTTATATAAAGAAAACTTACATCATAGGGTGAAATGTGAGGTTGGACAACTTAACAGAGAACAATGCTGGTAAACAGTGGGTGCTTAGCAAATTGCAGCTGTCACTGTTATCACCTTAAGAAACGGTGACTCATTCAACTAACCACTGTGTCTCTTTTACTTGAAATTTCAGTTGCTGAGCTTAAGCAAGTCTTAAAAGGAATATTTTCCCTCTATTTTAAACAAATGGTCAATCACGTAAATTATAACCAAACAGTTAACAAACAGAGTTACAGATCATTCTCAGGAATCATTGATGGCTTGATCAATTTATGAGCTGGGGCCTGCAGGTTTTACACATTCAGTAAGTATCAAGGTGGAGAAGTATGGGCCCCAGTTTACAGCCTGGAAATGAAAGGCTGATTACAACAAGATTGCCAAGAAGCCAAAAACAGAACAGGCTGGGAAATATTAAGACCACCATTTACTGATCATCAACGACAGGCCAAACACCATGCCAAGTACTTCTCATACGTTAATTTATGTAACAACAACAAGGGCACACAAACAAACAGGGAAAACTCCGCAAAACAGGTATGGCCATCCTAATCATAAAGATGAAGAAACAGAGGCTCAGAGAAGCTGGCCAGTTTTCCAAAGTAGGCATAGCTATTAGGTGACCCCTTGCCTTACCCTCTGATACCCTCAATTACACGCGATGTGGGCTGGGGGAGAGGACCGTACCAGCCACACGACTCGGAAGAGTGAACTACACTGCCTGTATCAGTGAGTTAAGCAGACAGGATCAGAGATGAGATTGCATGAAAGGGAAGCACTTCCTACTCTACCCAACCACTTGCATTGGTTTCTGGGTTATAGGTAGGCAGCACAACAGGCCCAAACCAGTGCTTTCATTAGATAAAGCAAGACAACCAGATTAAGGCCGCACTCAACTTTTTTTTTTTAGTTCTATTTATTAAGAAACTGGTAATTGCTTTGGGAAGTCTGGTCTCGTAGGTAACAGCCAATGAAATCTGAGGGGAAAGGGGTTGTTTTGGTGCAGTTGTACGGGTGAAACTGAGAGAGGAGTCGCTCCCAAACGACCAGCCTCCAAAGAGCACGTGACTCCTGTTATATCTGGCGGGCTGAGCAACTCTCCAAGTTATAGGGCTACAGGGGATACTGTCTAGACCGGTTCTTTTGGCTCCGGCCTTGGCAGTACATAGAACCAGAAAGCTAAAGCATGGTCCAAACATCCCTGCATTTTTTCTGGTCGACAGTCAAGCTGGATGGAAACTAAATCTCAAACAATTACCAAATAGCAATAAACGAGAGAGTACAAAGGCTGCGCGGGACTTTCTACAGCCCTTGATGGATATGCCCTGGCTCTTGAGCTACAAAGCATGACATTTATGAAGTGGCTATTCCTTAAGAAAGAAAAACACAAAAGGCAATCCTAAAAGTGGCATCAATCTCCGCGCTTGAGACGCCTGTCACTGCTTTAGAGGGGTTCTCTAGCCTCAAGGATGGTTCTAAGAGAGAAAAAACACATGGACACACAATTGAAATAATTTATTTACCACTAGAGCACCACGAAAACAAACATACATGGTGTTAAAATACAGCATAATCCATCATCAAAATACAAAACAGCTATTCTCATATTCTTATAAGAATTCTTATATTCGATTTTTTTAAACATGCTAACCATAAAATTGTACTGCTGCTTAACACATAAAAACTGTTGCCCCATCCCACCCGCACACTAACATCCCCCGCCCTCCTGCCTCAGTTCCCACCCATGGCAATATTAAGGGAAATAAAGACCTTATAGAACCACCCCCAAATTTAAAAAAAAAAAAGATTCAAGAGATCTTAAAATAGAGCATTTAAAATATTATCAGTGCATTCACAAGGAAAGAGAAAATAATACAAAACAAAATGTCATCCTATCTGACAGAAAACACCTGTAGAAATAAAAGTGATTTACACGGAATTAACGGGAAAATGGCAGAGGGGAAAAAAAAAAAAAGGACACCCACCCAAATCTGGGATTGGGTTACATCCAACACAAGGATTGTTTACTGGGTGGGTGGTAACCCATCCCTTGCTTTTCCAGTCTTCAAATCTGCAAATCCAATTCTTCATTTTAATGAATGATCAGGAAATTCCAAAAAAAAAAAAAAAAAAAAGGATGCCATCTCAAACAACTTCACTTTGGGTTCACCCCTCACTAGGCTGCTCTTTCGGTGAAACTGAAAATATTGCGTTGTTTTACCTATTCACTTTTATCTTAAAGCTACAGAAGTGACCTACCCGACAAACTGACATTTCCTACAAATCCCAACATAATGACAACTCCTCTGCAGTGATGGGCAAACTATTTACTAAAGCAAGGTAAATTCTGGCCTCAAATGTAGGTAACTCTCACTCGGGAAAGAAAAAATGTGTTGCTAGTGGGAGAATTTGGCTTATACCTCTCAATCTTCAAAGTACATCTACAAAACCCTTAACTTCAATGACTTATGCTGACCTCACTTTTTTTCTCCTTAAAAAAAAATCAACTAAAATGTAAATCGTACTATTTCCGCCCAACATGAGAAGCCTGATCAAAGCAAAAGATGTTTGCTATGAACTGTCTTCTCTTCCATAACCAGAGAATCCTGTGAAAGAACCGATTAGACGAGCTAGAGAAACTTTCGTCTCCAAGACAGATCCTGAAGTTTCTGCTAAAACTAAGACATTCCACCTCGCTCATCTAAGTATCTGTAACACTCCTCATTCTCCTAAAAGAAACACTTTCAAAGCTGGAACTGCTTAGTAGTGATGCTTAGAAGGTGCAGGAAGACACTGAACTTGAATCTATTCTTTTCGTAAAAAAAGAAGAACAAGTGGACTCAGGTAGCTTATGTCATAATAATGGACAATACACAAAGCACAAGTTGAGCAAATACTAGAAAACATGTATTTGTAGTGCAAGTCAAAATACAGGGGTTTTACGCAAAAGTTCTGGCCAGCGAAAAGAAACACATGATTCTGAGGGACCATTCAAAACAGCCCAAATTGAAGTCCGATCTAATAATAGTTGACAGTATTACAGAATAGTAAAAATATGGCGAAAATTTACACATTACACATAAAGCAGTTAATGTTTTGATTTAATAGTTTGCAAAAGAGATCTGCAGATGTGTTTCCAATTATGCTGGCTTCTATACTCATCTATTGTAATAATATAGGTATGGTTACATACACCGAAATGGAAAGGCGGGAACCCTATAGCATAGCTATACAGCAATACTCTCAGGTCCAGAGCTTGACCAGTACATGTCAAAACATTTCACTGGTTTACTAAGCTGACCAAGAACCATTTACAATTAAAAAGAAAAGAAAAAAATCTTACAGACTTATTTTGACGGAAAGTTTCCTTTATTGACAGACTTTTCAGTTCTTGAACCTTACAAGAAGCTTCTTTATGCAGTTGGTATATAGCATGTATTTTCAGGGTCTTTATCTTAAAACGCAGACTTGTTTGGTCATATAATAGCTCACTTGGGTTTTCATCCCATTAACATGACCTTTTTTTTTTTTTCTGGCTCGTTTGAGTTCAAGTTCCTTAAGCCATCCACGAGTTTCTGGCAAAGTATTTATTTGGTCTCCACTTTATACACCTGTTTTATTTTCCAAGGGTAATGAAACGTTCATTAGATAGTAACACACAATAAATAATTCACTGTTAAGTCTAGGAGTGAGAATGGGAAGGGTGCCTATTGCATATAGCAATACAGAAAAATCAAGTGAGGCATGGGATAGGATCGGTACGTACAGCAACTCCACTTAACGCGATTTTCCTGGGTTTTTTTCCTTTTTGTTTTTTTCTTTCACATAATTAATACTAACAAATTCTTCCAGTGTTTATTTTTTTCTTAAAAAAAAAAACGTTTTGCTTCTTGTCTCTCTCCCTTACAGAGTAGTGAAATGTAGAATAAGGCCTTTGACTTTTTTGTTGTTGTTTCAGATGCCAGTTTTAACAAACAAAACACAAACTTCCAAAGTGTTTGAACTAGTACCGCTTTTTCAATTTTTTTTTTTTTTTTAACACTGATGAACTGAGGCTCTCTTATGTTTTCTGGTTACCACATCGTTATTGCTGTCATTATCATCATCGTCAACATCATGATTATTGTCTTGCCGCTCTTCCAAGGATTTTAGCTGCATTTGCAAGACTTCACGATCATATTAGAAAGCTGTTCGATCTTGGGTGTTTTGCCGATGTAGTAGAGAATGGTTAGCGGTTCTAAATCCTGGGACACACAGCACGGAGAAGCAGATGCTTCTGGATTGATGGTATTATATAAGCTGAGGACCTGAAAGGGCACAGCAGTGGGGAGAAAATACAGGGAAAGACCAAAAAAAGAAAAAAGCAATTATTTCCGAGATCTATTCCGTATTGCTATCTTAGCATCCCTAGCACTGAGAACACAACCCGAACGAAACTTGTTGCTGTTGAGTCGATTCTAACTCACGGCGACCCACGTGTTACAGAGCAGAACTGCCCTCTAGTGTTGTCTTCGCTGACATCTTTACGACAGCAGATCGCCAGGCCTTTCTTTTGTGGCACTGCTGGGTAGGTTTGAACTGCCAGCCTTTAGGTTAGTAGCTGAGGGCCACCCAGGGACCTCATAGCACTGAGTTGGCAATTTGAATTATTGTTTTGGTTAAAATTTCCTTTCCTCAATTCCAAATTAAGGTAAATGTATCACTGTCCGTAGTAACCACGGAATTAACCATTTTCCCACTGAGTCCTTTTCTTGTACATCTTAAACAAAGGATCCTGCAAAAGTCAGATAGGACAAAACTGCTCACTCAACAGATTTCCCAGTTTTTCCAAAAAGCCTCGACTCTGCTCCCTGCTTTGTTGTGTACCCTTCCCCAGTCCCTTGCAAAAATCGATCCTTTTAGTACCCTGCTCTTGTTTCCGCGCTGCTTTGTAACTTGAGGTCATTCACAAGTATATATTTTTACGTCCCAATGAGATTGAAAGTTCCCTTGCGGTCAGGGACTCCAAAGACTTTGTTTTTACCTTATAGCCCTAGTAAGTCTTTTCTGGACATCACAATAAGACTTTGTGCTAGGTGAAGTAACCAACACGCGGGTAAGTAAGCAGAAGGGTAAACATTCTGCCTACAGGTCCCACGGGGGCTTTCATTTACCCTTGGGTAGAGAAAAAGCCACCTGTCCGCAGTGTAGACTCTTTCTATGCTAAGTGTCTTCTCAGGCTAGAATGTCACCTAAATTTGCAGTTAGGAGCTCTGGTATGCCATGGTTAAGAGCTCGGCTGCTAACCAAAATGTCAGTAGTTCGAATCCACTAGCAGCTCCATGGAAACCCTGTGGAGCAGTTCCATTCTGTCCTATAGGGTTGCTATAAGTCAGAATCGACTCAACAGCACTTAACAACAACAAATTTTCATTAAGGAAAAAAAAGTTACCGATAAAAGTCTTTTCATAAATGCAGTGATTCTAACAGCGGGCAGCAAAGGCAGTCTATATTCTTAATCACCTTCTTACATTTTGCTTAGAACAACAGTAATAACAATAAGCCCTTCCGGTAGCCTTCCACGTGGTAAATGGTACTGGCTGAGCTAGAGGAGCAGATAGGCAATCTTCAAAGAGAATGCAGAGAAAGTTCTACAGTTCGTCCTGTACTTTTAACCCCATACTGTATCAAAGGCGTGTGCGACTTTCGCCAATGGAAGTATGCAGGTTACCCACCGATGACACAGACACATTTCCAAAGATGCCATTAATGTGTTAGTCGCACAGCAAAGTGCCTTTTCCTCGAGATTTGCTGCAGTGTTTTAGCCTAAGACAGAAGATCTGTTCAGCCCAGCAACAATGACTACTTTATTAAGCTACCTCTGGCTTCTTGGGGAGCTGTCCAAACCACATATGTGACCATGACAGCTATTCTTCCTCTCTCCTTGAAAAACAAGCATGGTTCCAGCCTTCACACACTCCCTCTGTGGATCAGGGAGGAGAATTATGTTTCTACTTGGCAACTGGGCCTTGCCCACATTACAGCTACTGCCGCGGCTGCCCAGAGGAGGCAGCTCAGCCAGAGCCCGGACAAAGCGGCAGCATGAGCAGGCACTCTCACGTGGCCAAGCACATGGTCCCCCCACACTGCCAAAGTCTACAGGGGAGCCGGGAAAACAGCTGAAGAAAGGGGGGCCGTACTTCTCATTTTAAAGTCCAGCATATGTAGGCATTTATAAATAAATAGACTTCATATTTCACTAACACATGATTTTTCACAGGAATAAAAGGAATTCAAGGATACAGATTGTCCAAAATAAATGATAACCCCCCAAACTCCTGAATTTGGCTGAATGTATTATGTGACCTTTCTGGCAGCAGATCCATTTTCCTACCCTGCAGTGAAGGCAATTTTTCTAATGCCTCTCCAATAGGGAGATTTACAGAGGCATAAAGGGCAGAATAGAAACCCCAAAGCATGGCCACATCGCAGAAATTAAAGTTAGCAAGACAGAGAAAACGGAGCCCTGGTTATAAAGCAAGGAGGCCTGTACTCCAGACCCTGGTGTGTCATGTCCTTTCTGCTAGATCTTGGGCAAGTGATCTACACTCTCGAGAACCCCAGTGTCTTTAGAAAAGTGACAGTTTTGGATAAGATAACATAAAAATCCTTTCTATCTCTAAATTCTACATCAACATACACAATTTAAACCAATACAATGAGCATATGGCCAAATACGAGCTGTTGTTGCCGTGTGCCGTCGAGTGGATTCCGACTCACAGCGACCCGATATGACAGAGTAGAACTGTCCTCATAGGGTTTCCTAGACTGTAATCTTTATGGGAGCAGATCTCCAGGACCTTTCTCCCACTGAGCGGCTGGTGGGTTTGAACCGCTAAGCTTTCATTTAGCAGCGAAGAGCTTTTTAACCATTGGGCCACCAGGGCTCCTCTATTACATACAAAAAAAAAAAAAAAATAGACCCAAAACAGTTGTTACTGAGTCGATCCCAAGTCATGACAACCCCTTGTGTGTCACAGTAGAACTGTGTTCCATTGGGTTTTCAATGGCTGATTTTTCTAAAGGAGATCACCAGGCCTTTCTTCTGAGGGCCTCTGTGTGGACTCGAACCTCCAACCTTTCGGTTAGCAGCCAAGAACATTAACTGTTTCCAACACACGGGAACTCTGCCATTAAATACATAGAGCAAGTCTTTGCTGATCTGGCCTGGGAACCTGTAGCATCCAATCAAGGGCCTGCCTTTGGAATTAGCTCTCTATTTTGATTTAAGCAACTTGATAAAATATTCAGATTCTCATTTACTTTGGGTTCTATTAAAAAATACTTAGAGATACTAATTTTCCAAATTATTGAAGAAAATCATTTCACATTTATCATCATTTTGTTCTTGACATCAGCTCTCAGGTTTAGCCCAGTTAAAGATAATTTTTAATATACACATTCCTTTCTCCTGATACTAACTTGAGGTTCAGAGAAGTTAACTCACTTTCTAATTGTCATACACTTGTAAATCCATTCAGTATCATATACTAGTAAATTACCAGTAAATACATTCAGATGGGTCTTGGCTGAAAGCAGAGAATACCAGAAAGATGTTCACTTGTGTTTTATTGACTATGCAAAGGCATTCAGCTGTGTGGATCATAATAAATTATGGATAACACTTTGAAGAATGGGAGTTCCAGAACACTTAATTGTGCCCAGGAGGAACCTGTACATAGACCAAAAGGCAGTCGTTCAAACAGAACAAGGGGATACTATGTGGTTTAAAGTCAGGAAAGGTGTGCGTCAGGGTTGTATCCTTTCACCATACCTACTCCATCTGTATGCTGAGCATATAATCTGAGAAGCTGGACTCTGTGAAGAAGAACGGGGCATCAGGATTGGAGGAAGACTCATTAACAACCTGCTATATGCAGATGACACAACCTTGCTTGCTGAATGTGAAGAGGACTTGAAGCACTTACTGATGAAGATCAAAGACTACGGCCTTCAGTATGGATTACACCTCAACATAAAGAAAACAAAATTCCTCCCAACTGGACCAATAAGCAACATCATGATAAACAGAGAAAAGATTGAAGTTGTCGAGGATTTCATTTTACTTGCTTCCACAATCAACACCCATGGAAGTAGCAGTTAAGAAATTAAATGACTCATTGCATTAAGCAGATCAGATTCAAAGACCTCTTTAAAGTGTTCAAGAGCAAAGATGTCACTTTCAGGACTAAGGTGTGCCTGAGCCTAGCCATGGTACTTTCAATCGCCTTATACGCATGCGAAAGCTGGACAATGAATAAGGAAGACCAAAGAAGAATTGACATCTTTGAATTATGGTGTTGGTGAAGAATACTGAATACACCATGGACTTCAAGAAGAATGAGCCAAGCTGTCTTGGAAGAAGTACAACCAGAATGCTCCTTAGAAGTAAGGATGGCAAGACTTTGTCTCACATATTTGGGACATGTTATCAGGAGGGACCAGTTCCTGGAGAAGGACATCATGCTTGGGAAAGCAGAGGGTCAGCAAAAAAGAGGATCCTCGAGGAGATGGATTGATACAGCGGCTGCAACAATTGGCTCAAATAGAGGAACAACTACGAGGAGGGTGCAGGACCAGGCAGTGTTTTGTTCTGCTGTGCACAGGATCACTATGAGTCAGAATGGAGTCGATGGCACCTAACTACAGTAAATCCCTAAGCCAAAACATCCACGCTCTTTCTAATATGACAGTTCCTTAGGTAATAATAAGAAATCTCTTCTTTTTTTTTTTTTTTTAACATGGGGACCTACCTCCCTTCACATCTAGCTGTACCATGACACTATATATATAGAGGGAGAGTAATTCATTCCATATTTTTTTTCCTGGCTACCTACTTATGCTTACAGTTGTTAAAAAATATAAAACAAGGGGAAAAAATAAGTAAAACTGCCCTCAAGTTGCTTAAAATGTAGTTGGGAAGGCAAGGCCTACTGTTTCGAATTGATGAGTGTTACCTTCTGATTTTATCTATAGCCTACATGCTTCCTCATCATCCAAAAGGATTTCTCCAGCATCCATCCACTTGCGGTGATGAAAGGAGGCCACGCTACATAGAATTCATTTGGAAATACCATCAAGGGGTCCATTTTAGCAACCCGAAAACAGAAGGGCAAGTGAGCCAAATACTTACCCTACTGTGCTGAGTGTCTGAACTCCACAAATATGGGCACGCGCCAGCACAGAAGTTAGCATTGTACCCTTTAGGTTCATGTATCCATTTCCACCCAAGATCCCTCTTGAAATCAATGTAAAGTGGACGTAGGCAGCAATTATCCTGCACATTTCTGTTAAAAGAAAGAGCAATGGAGATTTTAAAGCTGGTTTTCCCTCCACCCCGAGCTGGAAAAATGACTCATTCATTTATTCAACCAACTTCTAACAGGCATATGTTATGGGCCAGGTTTTAATGGCCTTATTGTAATCTCAAGTGACTTTCATGATGGGATATTACGGCGATTTGCTGAATTACCTTCCCTCATGAGCTCTATGTCTCAATGTCCTTGTCTGAGACCTGGGAAGTCAAACCTTTACCCTCAAATAACCAAATATAAGCAGACAGGTGGCTGGAAGAGAACAAGTTCTTTCCAACCAACAGTGGGCAGTGTTGCCGTCGAGCCTCTATTATCCCTTCAAATATAAAATGAATGAAGTACAACAGCTACAAAGAACTATCGCAAACATTTTTCTTTGAGAATAAATCCTTTATTTCATCTCATGTTCCTTGATCTAGGAATGAACCAGTGATCAAGAAACCATGGAGTCTTGCTGAGTACAACCACTGGCAACCAAAAAAGGCCACTATACTCATGAACTCTGACATCGTGGGCACTTTATCAGTGATGACCTCTCACTGCCCCACACCAATTGCCGTTGAGTCAATTCTGACTCACGGCAACACCTTGTGTGTCAGAGTAGGACTACGCTCCATAGGGTTTTCAATGGCTGATTTTCCAGAAGTAGATCACCGTGCTTTTCTTCTGAGGCCCTTCTGGGTAGACTCGAACCTCCAATATTTGGGTTAGCGGCCAAGGGTGTTAATCATTTGCATCACCCAGAGACTCCCATAAAAAAAGTTGCCCTTGAGTTAATTCCAACTCATAGCGACCCTATAGGACAGAGTAGAACAGCACCCTAGGGTTTCTAAGGAGTGGCTGGTGGTTTCAAACTGCTGACCTCACGGTTAGCAACCAAGCTCTTTACCATTGCACCACCAGGGCTCCAGAGACTCCCACTGCCCCATGATTCTCAAAATAAAGAGTTCTCCTCTTACCAGCCTTGATAAGAAACCATGGAAGAACAATCACATTCTCCCGCCATGTACTCACGTGGGAATGGGAAATAAATCCTTCTTGCCCTGCTCCCTCACTTGTCTCCTATTCTGCTCTGTATTACACAAGGGGCATGAGCAGGCATTCTGGAACGAGGGCACGAGCTTCATACAGACAGTGCCTCTTTCTTCCCTAAGAGCTGCCACCACGCACTTCATGGAGGCTCATATTTGCTCTGGGGCGAAGACAGCTCACTTTCTTCTTCAGCCAGAAGATTTAGGGGAAAAATTCAAGGCACTAGTTTTTCCCCTTCACATTCAGGTCATTGCTAAAGAGACCATTGCTAATGAATTGTTGTTGTTAGCTGCTTGTAAATAGATTCTGACTCATGGCGACCACATGTGCAACAGAGTAGAACTGCTCCATAGAGTTTTCAAGGCCATACTCTTAATATAAGCAGATTGCCAGGCCTTTTCTTCCGTGGCATTTTATGAGTGAGTTTGAACCGCCAACCTTTTGGTTAGTAGTGGAGGGCAAACCATTTGTGCCACCCAGGGACCTTAAAGAGCTGACGAATCCAACCCTTAATGGCTGTTTTAAGCCTTTGGGAAGAACCATGTTATAAGCTACGATAGCTACCCTGTACTACACCGGGCTTTAACCAATTAATTCAGTCCAGGCCAGTATGTAACCAAAGAAAGGGCAAAGGCAGATCAAGGTTAACAGACACAATTCCTTTGTTTTATTTTTATTTCCTTTACCTAAAGCAATAGGCGGCATCCAGGGCACGCTTCTTCCGCCGGTTGGACTGTTGTGACTCAAGTCTGTAGGAGGGCAACAACATTAGCAGGAGATGTGGGGTCTTCCCACTGTTTTTTTTCCTAGTGGACTTTATAGTTTTCTGATCACCACTGGTATATGTGGAGGTGCCATCAATACCTTGAAAAAATGCATTCGGGTAATAAACATTTAGCTTTACCGTCATCAAATACCATCAGCCATATTTTTTTTCTTTTGCATATTGTCACAAATAACAGTGATGACCACCACAGCAGCATCAGCTGCTAGAGTCATCCCCCGCCCCCCGTGGACACAGATACGGCACAAGAGGATGACCGCAGGTGACAACCACCACTTCTAAATGGGGCTCTTGTCAGAAGGAAGTTCAGTGTCAAAGCGAGGGCTTGTTGGTTCTCAAAGTCACTGCAGGGTAAGTCTTTGACCTCTAGTCCAAGGGCAATCTTCTTGTTAGTCGCCCTCCAGTCGATTCTGACTCGTGGTAAAGGGCAGTCTAGGCAGTTTATTTAGCCAGTCCTCCGTGTGGGCTGTGTTTACCCCCTCAAGGGTTGAAGGCACAGCAATAGAACGTGCCTTGTCGCCCTGCTGGTTCACACTTTCCCTAAGACTACTAAACTCAGAAGACTTCCCTAATGAACTTGAACGGAGACTTCCACTACACTGCAGTGAATTGGGTTCAAGGGAAACCGAAGTCACCCTCACCTAGTGCTACTTTGGGAAGCTGTGAAGAAAGGGCTTTTTCATTTATTTTATGGCAACCTCAACACTCTCCTGATTCCATCTAAGATTTAGAACCTCAGGCTCTCCAAAGCGTGCTCAAGAGACTGCCAGTTTAAGCATTTAATCTCCATGCACTGGAGAATCATGACTACGTTAGAGATTGAAATAAATCTCTAGACCTCTGGGAGTATTTTTCCATGCGCAAGGGCCACTGTAGTCTTCTGAAAGTTGATGGAGGTCCCCAGTGGTGTAAGCTAAGGGGAGGGGAATCTGCTTCCCGACTTGGCAGTGCAAGGCCCATACTACACCAGCCACATGGCATAGATTCCTTCTCACCTCCCATCAGCCACAGACTCATTGTCCAATATGGGAAGTGACTTGAACCCTTGACATCTCGTCACTCTCCCTGACATTTGCCTAATCGACTAAAAGGTAAGCAAGGCGAGGGGGAAATGAAAACCTTGTTACATGTTTTGGTGAGGAAACCACTCGGAATACTAGGTACAAGCTAGAAAATGTGCAACATTCTAATAGATGTTTGGTAGTTATGGAGGCCGTGGTCAGAGAGGTCTCCTTTCTTCTGGGAAATGTAGTCTAGGGTCCCTGATGCTGGGTTTGGGGGATTACCAACGGGTTACCTTGAATGCACAGGTGTAAAGTTGATTTGCTTAAATGAATAAAAGGCTTCACTGACTATTTAATAATTTGAAGGGTGAACAAGTCAGTTGGTTAATACTGACCAAGTCATCTCTGGGCATTGATCAGTATAAACTGGGGACCAACGCCTTTCTTACAATCCTTTCTGCCCCCATATTTCCTTCTCCAACCATATCTTTGCTCAAACAAATGAAACTCTCCAGGTCTCCCAAACAACCCAATTTTCACATGCAAACTGACTGTATCCCTTATAAGATTATCAACACTACATGTGTCCTTTCCTCGACCACCTTCCATGACCGAGTTTTAATTACCTGCAAATCTTGCTTCTAGCTCTTCGCTTTTATTTGGGATGATGTAATTGTTGGATGGTACAAAGGTACAGCACGGACAGTGCAAACTTATTTTAAATCCCAGGTTCCTGTCTGGAAAACATGAAGTCAAGGTCATTGTCGTGTGTGTTTGTACAATCAACATGCAATAACTTAGGGTCACTGAACATCCAGGGAGGAAAACAGAGGGGTGGTTTGCAACCTTTATGGTGAAGCCATTCATGAACAGCGTCAGTTACATCAAAGGAGAGCCATTCGCCTTCAGCTCTTGTTTTCACGACTTTGCTGTCGATGTAGCGCTGGGTTGGGGATGTTAAATCTTTGGATTTCAGAATCTACAAGGGGAAAGAGCAAGGAAAAAGCTCAGTTGGCATACTGACAGCATGACTAAACCAAAACCATTAACAGTATTCCAATTCATTATCTAAATTTAGCTCCACTCTAGTCTATCTGTGTATTGCCATCTCAAGAGCATGGCCACATGGCACAAAAAACATAACACCAGGCCATTTGCCATGAAAAATAGAGCTACGAAATCAGCAGCATGTTATGATAAAGGTGATGGGAACCATAAAGCCAAGTGTCTGAAGGAAAGCAACAGTAATCGTTTTTCTTTGCTCACATAAGCTTTGCAAGATTTCAGCCATAAATTCTATGCTGTTAAGTTAATGGTTTTGTTGCTCTGCTTCCCCGCTTATTCAGTTGGAGGAGCTGGGGTGTGGGAAGGGACAAGGGGAAAAGTCCAGTTCAGAGGGCCCACGCTCACCCCCCGAAAGGCCATGAATCACAAATCTCCTCCTAATAAAGAGAGAGGACCTATAACCTTAGCTGCTAAACCCAATGACTTTAAAATACTTGGCATGCCTCAACTTTTGAGGTAAGTCTCTAGCTGCGATTTTTCCTCTCGGTGTGACCTGTCATGATTTATAAAGATATTCCATATCCTGCAGACTGAGGATGAATGCGGGCAGGAGCAGTCTGGCACAGGGTGTAGATGAGAGTCTGAGAGCAAATCAGCCTGAACACTGAAGATAGCAGAAGGATGCATTCATTGCAAATAAGCAAAAGGCAACCGCAGAATGCTCTTGGGTTGCCATAAACCAAAAAATCAAACCCACTGCCGTTGAGTCGATTCCAACTCATAGCAACCCTATAGGACAAAGTAGAACTGCCCCCATAGGGTTTCCAAGGAGTGCATGGAGGCTTCCAACTGCGCACCTTTTGGTTAGCAGCCGAGCTCTTCACCATTGTGCCACCAGGGTTTTCTGGGTTGCCACAGGAGGTGAACATTCTAGGTTCTTTTGTTTTTTTTTTAATTCTGTCTTTAAACGATAGTGTTTTTATGAATCCATCAAGTCACAATATTAAGTCTCCTTACCCAAACCCTATATCCCGTCTTCCCCCAGGACTAGGGGCTCCAGCCCTACTGTTTTATAGTGCCCTTCCTGCTATTAGTCTAACTGGTCTGCGGTTATTTCATGCACATGAGTTTGGTCTCTCCAACAAGTTCATTAACTTCCCCAGGGCGGGGATTTGTCTTCAATTTGATATCTTTTCAAAGCACAGCACTCTATTTAATCAATGTCTATTAAACAGCCATCTGAATATTTAGAAGATTTATTAACTCTCCTTTAAACCTTGTAAGACAAAACTTACAATCTTTCCACTGATTTTCAAATGCACTTTCCTTTCACGATTCCTTTCAGGTAATTTGGCAACAAACGCTTCCTGGAATATTTGACACAAGAGCAGACTTTTTCTGGATTAAGGATATTTAGAAAAAGAAGGAGATTCATACAACTGGACTCTGGGGATGCCCTCATGAATTTTAGACAAACTCTACATACCTACCCTAACGTCCAACTAACCCCTTTAGATAAACAGAATATACAAGGAATCTTGACTCTACCATAGGCAAAAGATGACCTTTGCAAATTAAAGGAAGCAAATTAACAAGACCTAAGAGTTGGGCACACTGGACTTGGCCCATGTTATTTAATTTACTTAGTTCCCCAAAACATTCCTGTAAGATAGCATTATCCCCACTCCCACCCTTCTTTTTTTGTAAATTAAGAAAGCTAACACTCAGAGAGGTTAAATAAACAACTCGCCCAATGCCTCCCAGTGAACAAGTGTGGGGAGAGGATTCAAAGCCATCCCAAATCATGCTCCCACATCGATGTCAGATTTTTTGAAGGCCAAAAGAGTTGGAGGAGTCGGAGCTGCATCACAATTCACTCTTAACCCTTTCTAGAAGGAACCCTGCTGGCACAGTTGTTAAAGTGCTCAGCTGCTAACTGAAAGGTCAGTGGTTCGAACCCACCAGCTTCTCCATGGGAGAAAGATGTGGCAGTCTGCTTCCATAAAGATTACAGCCTTGGAAACCCTATGGGGCAGTTCAGCTCTGTCCTATAAGGTTGCTTTGAGTCAGAATCAACTCAACGGCAATGGGTACCCCTTTCCGGATGTCAGAAGACATTCAATGACAGAGGCAAAGATTTTTAATCGGATTGTAATAGATGTTTGTACAAGATGAAAACATACTGTGTGAATTGTGTACACAGTTGATGCTGACATAAAGCGATACCTTTAACAACACAGCTTCAGAGCAGCTAGTCCTCTGGAAATCAAACTTTACATTGAAAGCACTCTCATTTGGGTATATAGCCACCAGGTGCCATCAAGTCATAAAGGTCGGCAGTTTAAGCCCACCCAGTGGCACTGTGGAAGAAAGGCCTGACAATCTGCTTCCATAAAGATTACAGCCAAGAAAACCCTATGGAGCAGTTCAACTCTGCAACATATAGGGTTGCCATGAGTTGGAATTGACTTTACGGCAATGAGTTTATCCAGTTTGGCATACATGTTGTAATTAACCTGATTTGGGATAATAATAATAAAACAACTGATGAGAGGAAGTCTTCAGGCATTTCTGTCCGCCCCACTGACTAACAACTAGTAACATACTCAGCACTCACTTTCCTGTCTCCAAGCTTCTTCCCCTAGCTGACTTCCTATGATGATGCATTATTCTATAAGGCTTTGTATATCTTCTGGGCTCCTAATATTTCATTGTGTGTCTTATTCATCCTCACATCCCTAACACTTAGACACACTGCTTAGGACAACACATTGCTTTCATTGTTAAATCACATATATATGATAGCAGACAGATACGATACATACATACATACAAATATAGAAGACGCAGAATTTTTTTTAAAATCATGACAACGTTGACCAAATGGGCAGAAAAAACACACTGGAAAATCTGTGGAAATTCTTTACCTCATAGTGAAGGAGAAAATCGAGATTATTTTACTTCAACAACAGAACAAGGAGCAACGAAGAGGCTCTGGAGCTTTTCTTTTAAATCACGTTGGAAAACTTGGAGATAAGGGCCACATCAACCACAGAGCACTGGTGGGCTTACACAAGGCGTAACGTCAGACTCTCATGGGTGAAAGTTCCTCTAGACCTTTTTCTAGTTCAAGAACAGGCCACGGTAAAACCACCCAAGAAAGTTAGCTAGCTATATAATTCTGAAACAGAGAAATCACTTTGGTCTTGTGGGTTTGTTGTCTCCAACTTTATGGCCAAGGAGTTCTTAAACCCACTTGCTGCAATTTAACTCCATTTTTTCTTACCCAGTCCTTAGCGGAAACAGGAAACAGCTGTATCACTCATACAGTATCCCTCATATTCTTGGAGTCTATGATTAAGTCCCCCTCATCTTGTGCTCCTTCTCTCTCTAAGCTAAATAAGCCCAGTTCCTTTAGCCCATATTTAGAGAGGCACTTTCCCAAACCTTTAATCATTTGGGTTGCTGACAAGGTTGAATGATGCTATAAAAAAGTACTCCTCCTACAACTTCACGATTTCGGTTCATAATTGGCTAGAAAACCTTCTAATCACATCTCAACGTCTCGAATCTTAACTTGAAAGCTGTGTTCTTCCTAAGGATAGGCACAAACGCCTTGTTCCGTGTTTACCGTCCATTTATCTCCCACACCAAATTAAACCTAACGGGGAGAAGCATGGAAAAAGCAAACCGCTGCTATTATCTCTTAGTACTTTCTTAAATTCAAGAGTTTGTACAAAAAGTGACCAGACTGGTCAACTTCCCATCCTATTTTAGCCTTTGCTTTCTGCCTTTCTCCAATCTCCCAACAACAAGTGTGTTGAATGTGAACAGTCATGGACATGCAGGTGTCGTTGTTCTGTTTTCTAGACCAGCAGTCACTTCTACATTCTTTATATACCTTATCATGACAAACACAATTTTGTTGACTAGTAAAAGCTCTCTTAACTGGTCTCCACTTAACTGACCAGAGTGACCAGTATTCTCCATTCGTTCTCTATTTGTATTGGTTGATGCACCGTGGCTCATTGCTGAAAAGCTCTCTCTAGTATGCTCCGAGGAGTCCAGGTGGCACAGTGGTTAAGCCCTCGGTTGCTAACCGAAAGGTTGGCAGTTTGAACCCACCAGTCACTCCGTGGGAGAAAGATGTCGCAGTCTGTTTCTGTAAAGATTTACAGCCTTGGAAACCCTATGGAACATTTCTGCTCTGTTATGTACAATCACTATGAGTTGGAATCAACTTGACGGCAATGGGTTGGGTTTGGTTTGGTTTTAGTATGCTCTGAACACTTCTGGTTCTGCTAGTTGAGCTTGATGCTTAGCAAGTATCCGTTGAATATGTTTCTAAACCTGTTTATGACCACTGAACTCATAATTATACAAGTTAATTAAATGGTCTAGAAACTGATGAGATAACGGACCAGAAGGATAGAGGCTTCTATGAAAACCAAGCTGAATGCTCTGGAAAGTCTTCATAAAGACAAGTTGCTTTAAAAAATAATTTGGGAGAGACAGCCATAAAAGACCGAAATAATATGAAAAAATCTAGAAGGATGCTGCACTCACTTTGCTTGGCAATTGCCCTTAAGCTTCTCTTTCTACTTCAAAGAAACTAAAACTAGAAATTGTAGATGATGCACTATGGATGTAGTTTATGCAAAGAAACACAATATGGAATGTCAACTGGTAGCATAGTCAAAGAAATGTCCTTGGTCTTTCATAAAAAATTCAGCATATGAATTATATATGTGTGTGTATATATATGTATGTTTTAAGTTAAAAAAATATATGCATCTCTCTCTTATTTTTTTATAATCCTATACGAAGAATGAACAAATATGTCTTGGAAGAAGTATAACTGGAGGGCTTCTTAGAAGCAAAGATGGCAAGACTTCATCTCACGTACTTTGGACATGTTATCAGGTGGGACCAGTCCCTGGATACAGACACCATGCTTGGTAAAGTCGAGGGTCA